CCAAACCCGCGTCTTTGAGCATCGAAATTGCGTAAACGTGGCCCCCTTAAGCCCAAACCCGCGTCTTTGAGCATCGAAATTGCGTAAACATGGCCCGCTTAAGCCCAAACCCGCGTCTTTTAGCATCGAAATTGCGTAAACATGGCCCGCTTAAGCCCCGCGTCTTTGAGCATCGGAATTGCGTAAACATGGCCCGCTTAAGGACCAAACCCGCGTCTTTTAGCATCGAAATTGCGTAAACATGGCCCGCTTAAGGACCAAACCCGCGTCTTTTAGCATCGAAATTGCGTAAACATGGCCCGCTTAAGCCCAAACATGGCCCGTTTAAGCACAAAGCCGCGTCTTTGAGCATCGAAATTGCGTAAGGATGGCCCGCTTAAGCACAATGTCGAGTCTTTGTAGACATGGTCCGCTTAAGGCCCAAACCTGCGTCTTTGAGCGCCGAAATTGCGTAAACATGGCCCGCTTAAGCCCAAAACCCCGTCTTTGAGCATGAAAAGTGCCGCCCGCTTTGACCAGCAAAAGATAGCGCAAACAAAGTTCAACATCAAAACTAGTTAAATATCAAGGGGTCAAATGCTCATGATGTTGTTTTTCTACATGGCCCGTGGCGCGGCGTGCTTGGAGTGGGAGAGTTGGATTTGTCATGCTTTCCTTGACAGGATTGTGCCAATGTAAAGGTTGAAAGGTTCCCTGATTTAGACTCAATGACATCTGACTAAATTTTACATTTCTACCTTTGCGCCTGCGTTCTGCGTGCAACCCTGGTAATCCAAAAACCGATACCTAGCCTTGTGACAGTACACATCTTGGAATCTATCTTTGCCTATTGATACTGTTGACACTCAACACAGCATATGTCCAAGGTTTTGTTGCATATGGTTTGCGATGCTAGTTGGACATTCCATTTTGTTTTTTTGCTCATCTTCCCTTTTCTTTCTTCGATGGGACTGGACACAGTTATGGGCCCAATACCAAAAACGACACCGGACGATACCCACTTCATAGGTCGTCTGTATGCCCTCGGAGACCACCTGCCCACTTACATGCGACTACTACTACTACTGCTGCTACTACTACTACTTTTATTACTACTGCTATTACTTCTACTATTCATCATTTGCAAAACCAACTTGCACAGCAATTCACATATAGACGATACCTCCCCAAAAAATCGCAAAAGGATTCGAAAAAAGCAATAGTAATCCCAAAAACGATACCTGCCTTAAAACTTCCACCCACGGGCCCCCTAGTTTTGCCGGTCGCTCATAGATACATATATATATATTATATATGTATATACACACGTAAGTCATTCCTGTATTTATTGACAACGGACTCTAAGAGGTAAAACCTCAAACCTTGGTGAAGTGAAGTGTGTAGGTTCCACTGCGTGTCACCACAATCCATGGCTGTGAAGAACGCTTTGACAGGGGAGGCAGCTTCGAAAAACTGACCCTGGCAGAACTGTGAAACATTAAGGCTGTTGGACCTGAAGGTTATGGAGCCTCGATCAAAAACTGATAAAGAAAGGGCCCAAACACCTTTATTTTTTCATGTCCTTTCTAAGCATCGTATTCAATGCTCATCTCATTGGTCTCATCTCATTTACTTTGTGGTGAACTGCTGCAGGGCGGTGACTTTGAGCTGGGCGATGGCCGTGGTGGGGAGGCCACTCTCGGGGGATCTTCTCCATCCGAACAACAAAACCTCGAACCATAATAATTGATCATTTCTTAAATAAAAGAGAGTTGAGAGCAGAAAATTCAAGGTATAGGCCTCTTTATCCTCTTTATAGGCCTCGTTAAAGGAGCTCTTATTGAAGGGACTCGACCTTACCATCATTTTCTAATCTATTCCAATCTTTTACATTCTGCCCAAACCATAAACCATACAGCCGGTTCTGACATGTCCTGACAGTGTGTTAAGAGTCTTTCAACCGGAGTCGAAGACGAAAGTTCTTTTGAAGCGATTTGACCTGCCACGATCCCTGCTGAAATAGGATTAAATAGGAACAATAAGGATTAAATAGGAACAATAATGATTATAATGTGTGAATTTATGGATCCCTGTTTGTGGCAAACATCTCATACTCCACATACTCCAACCGCACATGCATGGCTATACGCTTCCCAGTCCATTTATGGCGGCAAATTCAACGACGAGGCACAGAGGAGATAGGAACTGACAGCTTGATTCAGAAGTTTGACACCAAGACAAACTACATCAAAATAATCTCTTGACCCGATTCGTGAGGCAGGTGGACTTGCCCTGCGCCATGCCAAGAGGCAAGTGATGCTTATGACCTGATTCGAGCATGTCTTTAGTTCTTTGATGTCCTTTGTTTTCAGGGGTCTTCTGAGCATGGCCAACAGTGGTCGAGTCAGGGCCTTGATGAATAGATTTGCATTAACCAATCGTCCGATTTTGCACGTTTTGAACAGGACACCAATGGTTCGCAATTCTTCATTCTCTTCAAACCTGCGCATCATTTAAATGGTGCCCTGCACGAGTCTTGACTTGGGCGGATCATGCAGGGATTGGCACATCTTTCAAACAGACCATGGCACAAGACGTGACAACGCGGCCAGGAAAACATTGTGTCTTTGGGGAGCTTGTGGAGGGGCAAGCAACGCTGGACGGGCTTTCTCAACGAGAACTCGACTGAACATCATATAAGTAGCAAAGAGCACGGTTGAGCTGCGAGGACGCTATCGAAGGTGTGAAGACCACATCAGATGACAAACCTATCGCACCAATCACCATTGCGAGATGCGGTGCGCCATCTTGGCTGCATGACATGGTGGCCCATTGGTCAAACATTGTCTCCAATGCTGGCCGCTGGCCTGCAGGTCAGGTAGAAAGAAGAGTGATTGGCGTTCGGCCAGTAAAGCGAAAGAAGGCGAGGCACGAAAAGACATGCAGGAGGTTTGGAGGTTTGCTCCTGACTAGTGAGAAGTCCTCAGGTCAAAGAAGTGAACTCAAGCTCAGACTCATCTTCAAGTGAGAAGAAAAAGAAGAAAACAAAGAAAAAGGACAAGAAAAACAAGAAGAAGGCGCTTGCTGAATCTGGCTTTTTGACGGCAAGATTTCCAGTTGAGATATTATGAAATATTACAACATTTCATACATATATTATATAGGTATTGTTTTCTGAATCTTTCTTGGAGGACTAAGTCCATTGTCCTCATCTGAAGCCGGTTCAAGGCAGGCAGATGAAAAGACTGGCAATCTGAATCTACAGCTCTCCCTCATTTTCCAGACCTTAGCCTTAGTGATGTTTCAGCTTCAATAAGTTGAATGAACACGGTGCCTTCAACAAACAGCTAGCCTTGATAACAATTCCAGATCTGTTTGAGAGACCTGCATATGCACTGGGTTGCTAATAATAGGGGTATACCATATTCCTTCCTCGGCCGCTTCAGGCTTGTTCCACTGAGCATCTATGCAGAGCGGCAGTGGAAAATGCTCAGAGTGGCATCGGACATTGTGCAGTGCTGGGGCTGGTTCGGCCATTGTTCCGCTGGACTGGTGATTCTCCAGTCGTTTGACTCTGCTTCAGCGCTCACATCGAGGGCCAAGTACTAGTGTACCGCCGTATCACCCCAAGGTTAAGGGAAAATGATTAGACCTGAGGGAAACCTCCCGGGAATTCTTTTGCGCAGGTGGAAACCTCAGTGCAAAGCTTGGCCAACGATGGCATCAAAGCCATGGCAGGCGAGGCAGAAATAAACATACCGGGGAATCGGTGGCATCGCAGACATCTCTCTCTAATGCAATTGCAAGGCCAATGTGTTGAGGGCCCAGTGAAGAAAGAGCTGGTCAAGGCATGTCAGTCAGCTTGTCTGTCCGTGGTGGCGCCCTCCAGTATCATCCTCGAGCCTCAGCTTTTGGCAGGCTTTGAATGAGGACTTCTCAAACCCGGAAGTTCAGGCAACCGAGCCCCGTTTTGTTGCGGCGAGATTAAATTGACTCATCACTTTGTGGATGAGCAAAATTGATCTCAAATGACAGAGTTCTGACGGATCACTGGGACAGCAATGATTGGGTTACCCGCATAGGTGCCTGCTGGTGCTGATGACAAGGCAAGGTACAGAAATCGGACGTGCATATTCACTGCACCCCGCGACAGATAATGTCTTTGCCCGCTTTGCCTTTATGCGCACAGCAAGATCCCTCAGCATGATTTTGTCGCCAGCAAGTTCTTGACTGAATCATCATTTGGAGCTTGGAGGGGGCTCAACGCAATTTTGTGCGGAAGATCCTGATTCATACCGACCTGTACTGTATCAATTCGATCGGAGTTCTTTTAATCAAACGTTTGAAAAAGAGTTCAAGAAACGATCCCCTCCAAAAGACATACTCTCTAGGTCGATGACCGATTTTACAGTTTCCTTTTTTCTGTTGAAACTTCACTCAGGTGAGGGATCAGGACATGCGTTTTGCTGACAGTTTTTGTGGCGGTGTTGGGGTTTTGTATTTGGCAGCTACTTGAAAAACAACAGACATGCAACCCGGGGATATCCGATGTGTAAGACTATTTTACCAATGCGCAGCCACACTCGATGATTCATCATGGAAGACTTGTCAGGCTGACCCAGCATGTTTCTTCTTTGTTGTGCTGGGCGAATTCATACACATATACAAGCAGTTCCCGGGCAAGCCGGCGGCGGAAGTTTCCTCTAAAAACAATTTGACATAGGTTATAGGAGTGTCCGTTCGCACATGCCCATGCCCTGCGGACCACCTTTTTTTCCGGCCCGCAACGATGGCGTCATGCAAGCAGCCCACAACGGCGTAGTCGCTTTGGCACTTCGGAGTGAATGTAGTTACACAGGACTCCGAATTTGCGTGTACAACCTGTCATACATGCGCAACCAGAGTCTTAACAATGAATGCAACCAAAGATTGTAAGTATGGACTGTGCCCAAAACTTAAACCATAAGTACAAACTGACCTGTCAACAAAACAAATCATCTGCAACCAGTGTTGGGTTCGACGTAATGCAACCAAAACATCCGCGGAATGTAGAAGGCTTCGTTTTTCGACAGCGTCACCCTTCGGAAGGAAACTCACTATCTGACAGCCAGGTCCACAACTTGCACTCGGAATGTTACTTGCACACTCGGAATGTACGAGACATCCTTCCAAACCGCATTAGCTAACTGGAGCTAAAGCTGACTAGAGCTAGAGCTACCTAGAGCTAGAGAGCTCTGACTAGAGCTAGAGCTGTTGAAACACGCATTTTGTACGCGACTTCCTTCAAAAATGCATGTTGCACACCAGCAAAACGAAACAATTCTGCGAGACTTCCTCCAAAAGTGTGACTGGCAGACATGATCCAGCCAGACATGAAAGTGCCATTTACATTGCGGGAACGATCCTGAAACTGCAAAAAAACACAATGAAATTCCAGCGACAGCTCATCCACCAGCAACACTTGCAGTCACAGGAGTTGCAAAACGCGATGGAATTCCATCAACAGCACGTACACAAGAAACAGGTGAAAACTAGTTACAATGGAGGGACGATT